GAGAGAGCCCGAGAGTTGGTAGGAGGGGCGTAGTTCAAGTTTTGACGGTGCCAGCAGTTCACGGCGGTATGACCGATCTTTCCGCAGATTTGACAAACCGGGCGAGGTTGTTGAGGGCGAGCAGAATTTTGCGCATCGGAGGTTTGTTGTAGACGATCAACCTGCTGTGATCGAGAATTGGAAAATTTACCGCGTGATTTGTTCGGACGCCCGCTGTAGTTGCTGGACCGACTGGTAAACAAAGCCGTAGTGTCGGAATGATGACTTTCTTGAGCCAGTTGATGTTGAATATTGATTTCTTCACTACTAAGGAGCGAATAAAGATCATCGAGGCTGATTGGTTGAAACGAGGTTCTTATCGCAGTTTTGAACGAGTTGTAACTGGCGGGAAGGCCATTTAAAATGTACAGTACAATATCTTCAGTGTCTACCGTTGAACCAGCCGCCGCGATGGTTTCCACCAGTTTCTTGATATGATCAAGATATTGTTGCATAGTTTGGTCGGCCATCCTGATCTGGTGAAGCTCATTTTTGAGCTGGATGATGCGAGAGCGGTTTGTTGGTTGGAGGCGGCGCTCTAATGTAAGCCAGATGTCATGGGCTGTGTGTAAAGTAATGACGTACGGTAGAATGCTCGGAGAAATTGTGGACAGAAGAGCCGAAACGAGATTTCTATCAATCAAACGCCAGCGATTTTGAGCAGAAGCGTCGGAGTCGGGAGGACAGGGGACCGTGCCGGAGAGATGACCGTCATACCCATTGGCGGCGAAATGTTGATTGAGCTGAAGCTTCCAGATAGGATAATTTTCGGTAGTGAGAATAGTGGGAACAAGATTCTTGATATTGGAAATTAAGAATTTGAGATGGATGGGAATGGCAAGATCGGTGTCTTGGCCGGAAATGGTGGAGTGTTGCCGGTGAGACCCGACCGAAACTTCGTCACCCATAGAAAGAGAGGGGACGGGATGAGCCGAGCGGAAGAGAGGAGAGAGGAGAGAGGAAGAAAAAAAAATGCTGTAGAGCTTAGAGCTCTGATACCATGATGAAACAGGAGCAAGATTGGAGAAGATGGAAAGAAAACCAGAGAAGTTGTATTCCTTGTATGTTCTATTACAACCTATTACAAAGCATTATATAGACAGTGGGTAAAAGAAATTCAAGAAGAGTACAGCTGACGTGGCCAAAGTACCAAAATAGAAATACATTTTAATGTTCCTTGACAGACAGTTGGTCATTCCAGCTCTATTTAGAATGGGCATTGCATAGTGATGTTGATGCAGAAATATTTCATTGTCTGAATGGTGTACTTGTAAGCCAAGGAACGTGTGAAGGCTTCCAAGATTTTTGACCGCAAACTGTTTTTGCAGATCATGAAGTAAGTTGAAACCAATAAGAGAATCATTTCCCATAAGTAAGATATCATCTATATAGATAAGTATGTAGAGTGTAATACCATAATTTGAATAATAGAGTACGGAATGATCAGCTGTACTAAATTGGAAACCCCAAGTAACTAAGTAGTCAATGAATGTGGAGAACCATTGTCTAGGTGCCTGCTTAAGACCATAGATTTCTTTGTTTAACTTGCAAACATGTTTAGGATAGGTAGTGTCAATAAATCCTTTTGGTTGCTCCATGTAGACTTTATTAGTTAATGAACCATGCAAAAATGCATTTGAGAAATCTAATTGCGTTATAGTCCAATTATTGTGAAGAGAGACAGTGAGAAAAAACTCTTATAGTCTGAAATTTAGCTACTGGACTTTCAAAGAAATCAAATTCATACTCTTATTTGTAGCCTTGAGCCACCAAGCGAGCCTTGTATCTAGCAATGGTGCCATCATCATTAAGTTTGGTTTTATATAACCATTTGTTGCCCAAGATATTATAGTTGGATTTGGGAGGTACAAGAGTCCATGTACCCTGTTGTTGAAGTGCTTGGAATTCAGCCGACATTGCATTGCGCCAGTTTGGACTTTTGACAGCTTGGTTGTTGCAGGTGGGATCAGAAGGCTTATGTGTTAGATGGAGGAGATTAAATATGGATCTGGATTTTAAATGACATGTCTGTATCCTGGTGGTCATAAGGTGAGTTTTGGCAAGAGGTAGCGGTGGAGTTGGATTAGATGAGGTGGCTGTAGATGGTGTGTTGGAAGAGGCAGTTCTGTTGAAAGTAGTGGATTGACTAGTGGATGGAGAAGGTGGGAATGAAGAACTGGGAGGTATTGAAGGAGAAACTGGCGTTATTGGAACGAGAGTGAGAGGGGGAGGATTAGATGTAGGTGAAGGAGTTTCAGTGGGATTTGAAGACATGTCGTTTTTGAATGGAAATATGTGTTCTTGGAATTGAACATTGATAGCTGTTATAACCTTGCCTGTAAGAATATTAAGACATAGATACCCCTTAGATGCCAGAGCATAACTAAGAAACACAGATTTCAGAGCTTTGGGGGCAAGCTTGTGAGTTTTGTGAGGAAGAAGAGGGTAGCATTGACAGCCAAAAACTTTTAAAAATTTGTAATTTTGTGCTGTATTGTAAAGTAGCTCAAGTGGTGACTTATCTTTGGTATTTGGAGAAGGTAGTATGTTTATTAAATAAACATCGGTAAGCACAACATACAACCAGAGGTTATAAGGTAAGTTGGCATCAATTAATCAGAGTTCGAGTAGTTTCAATTATATGACAATATTTTTTCTTGGCCAAACCATTTTGCTGAGGGGTGTAGGGACAACTGAATTGTTGTTAAATACCATGAGCTCTTAAATAGTTTTGAAACAATTTACTTGTAAATTCTGTTCTAGAATCTGATCTGATTGAAATTGATAAAGTTCTGAAAAGTTTCAGACTTTTGACGCATTGGAAACACCCATGTATACCGAGAAAACTCATCAATGAAGATAACATAGTAACAAAATCCATTAATTGAAGATATTGGGGAGGGACCCCATACATAAGAGTGAACTATTTGAAGAGGTTTAGAAACAGTGGAAGTAGATAAAGTGAAACTATTGCGATGACATTTAAACTGATAACAAGAACTACAAGGGCTACAAACATTTTTAAAAGAAATAAAAGGATTCCAAGCACGTATAATAGTTGAAGCGTTGGAGTTAGGATGTCCAAGTCTCTTGTGCCAAAGAGTTGATGAGGTAGGTATATTTGTAGAGGTGCTGGTGGTGATGAATGCATTAGAGACTGGATAGAGTCTATTATGGTAGCGACCTTGAAGGAGAGTTGAATGATTCTTCAAATCCTTAATTTGAAAACCATTAGAGTAAAAAACAATTGAGCAGTTGTTGTTGGAAGTGAGTTGTTTAACAAAGATAATATTATGGGTAAGATTAGGAACAAAGTATAGAGGATGAAGGAGGAGCTTACATGAGGGTGTAGGTAACAGTCCTTGTCCAGTGGCAGCAATGGGCAAGCTCTGTCTTCCAACTGTTATCTGATTTTGGCCATGGTATGGTAAGGCTGAGGACAGTTGCGATGCATCAGAAGTTAGATGCTGTGAGGCTCCTGTATCAAGATACCAGTCAGTAGTTGAAGGGTTTGTAGTAGCCGTGCATTTTACTGTGGTTGATATTTCAGATCAATCCTGTACCAACAGTTGGCTGCAGAGTGTCCACGACGAGTACAAATTTGACATTCAATAATACGATTGAATGTTCGGCCTCCTCTCCTAGTGTTTCTTCCACCACGATTGTAAGGTCGAGAGCGCATTGATGATGAACGACTTCGTGCACGACCTATGGAAGTGTAAAGAGCTGCTGGTGGATCAGATGTTGCAGTTATGTGGGTTTCACGCAGAGTTTCAACTGTCAAATTAATCTCCTCACTACATAACAATGAATACAAGTCATCTAAGCTCAGAGGTTGTAGAGTTGTGCGTATGGAAGTCTTAAATGCATTGTAAGTAGCATGCAATCTATTGAGAGTATAAAGTATTATATCTTATGTATCCAAACTACTTCCAACAACATTTATATCATCCACTTTGGACTTGACGAGCGACAAGTATTGAGTCACTGTCATCTCTTTCATTGTAATATGGTGAAGCTCATTTTTGAGCTGAAGTATGCGGGATCTGTTGGTTGATTGTAATCTCTTCTCTATGGTTAACCAAACAACATGAGTGGTCTCCAAATTTAACACAGGGAAGAAGAGAAGGGGTAATAACAGAATATAATGCTGATGTTAAATTCTGATCAATAAGTTGCCATAATGCAAACTCAGCATTAGGTGTTGAAATTTGATCAGAATTTCAGATATATTTTAGCGGTGCAGTCGCTGTTCCATCCAGAAAACCATAAAATCCATTGACTTGAAAGACCTTTATTACCTGAGCTCTCCACATATGATGATTTTCAGTAGTCAAATTCTTGATATTGTTCATGAAAAATTTTAGGGAGGAAGGGATTTGAGTTTCTTGGAGATGAGTATACTTGGATCCAGCTGCTAACGTTGATGCTGTAGATGACATTGTTGGAGATGTCATCGGAAACGGAATAGATGAAATAAGATTGAGAAGTCGTAAGACTAGAGCTCTGATAACATGTAGAAAACCTGCATACAGAACAAGTAAAAAGAGCAAACGAATGCAAATGAAAGTAGAGGAGGTTTTAGAAAGATAAAACTCCAAAGGCATTTGTAATTCATTGCATAAAAAACAGAGAAGCTATAGTCGAGACTTTAAATAGAATTAGAGCTGTGCATCATAATGAAGGCTGGCCGTTGATCATCATGAAGGGCTATGATTTCTTTAGGTAGTTGTTTTTGCAGGAGATGTTGGCATTCTCTGCTGCAGCCGTTAGTGGAGTTGTGCTGCTCATCATTTGTGGTCCCCGTTGTATTTGATATTCTAACAATAAGCAAAGCTTCATCAGATGATAATGCTTAATATGTCTACTGCGTTTTTGTTTTTTTTTATACATTGCTGCTTCTGATCTTCATCTTAGATCCTTAAAGTATGTTCAGTCAAGCATAGGAACCTAATCTCAGTTTTTCTCTACCTGTTTATGCTTAGGTATGCTCTCGAGGGTGATCCATATGGGCATGACTGGGTTGCTCCAGAGTGCGATGTATCCATCAGGACAGGTTGGTTTTGGCATAGCTCAGAGAATCCCAAATCTCCCATGACCCTACTTGACATATACTACACTTCAGTGGGCAGAAACTGTCTCCTGATACTAAATGTTCCCCCAAATTCATCTGGCCTCATATCCGATGAAGACATTCAGGCTCTTCAGAATTTTACTGCAATGCGACACACCATTTTCTCACAAAATTTGGCTAAGGATGCCATTGTTTCTGCTAGCAGTACACGAGGTGGTCCTGATGAATCTCATTTCAGCCCTTCCAACGTAATTGAAGAAGGTATTTACTCTTATTGGGCTCCTGATGAGTTCCAAGCTACCTGGACATTAATCCTAGACCTCGGACAATCCATTTCCTTCAATGTTTTGCAAGCCCAGGAGCCTATTCAAATGGGGCAGCGGGTCGTTGAGTTCCATGCTGATGTTCTCAAGGAAGGGGAGTGGGAAATAATAGCAAATGGCACAACCATTGGATATAAAAGGCTTCTACTATTTCCTATTGTAAAAGCTCAGTTTCTAAGGTTTGTTGTTGATAAATCTCGTGCTGATCCACTCATATCCTATCTGGGCATATATTTTGACCCCTTCTCCCCATCACATAATCTACTTAGTACAAGCAGAAGGTCTTCTTTCAACAATATCAGAGATCTCGATCTAAGAGCCTCTAAAAATTCTAGCCGTGTGTCTGTTATTTAGTTTTATTTGGGGCAGCTTTCTTACTGCTTCTTAAAACAACTTTGTAGTATAAAAATTTAAATTTTTGTATTAAAAGACTGTTTTAAGAATCAATAAGAAAGCCGTACCAAACTAAGTCTTAGTTTGTAAGCATGATTCGCTCCAGTGGAACTTGGTCTCTTACATTTCATATTCTATGACTCAGTGCAAGAATGCCAATAAGATCGATAACCTCTTTTGAGGTTCCTTCTCTTCAGTCACAGGTAAAATCCATGTTATTCAGATTCATACAAAATATGTTTGTTTATTTTGCTTCTTTGTTCACAATTAAGCTCTGAAAATGTGTTCATAAGGCCAGATTTGTGGCTCAATGTTTGTTTCTGCAATATTTTGAGTAATAAATCTCTAGTTTTCATATGGGTTTTTATTTGTTCTGGGATACGGTTCAGGTTGGAAATTAATAACCTTTATATTTGCTGTCTTTTTCTTTCTGTTGATGTTGTGGCGAGAAGACTTGACAAGCCAAGGCATCACGACTCGGGAGCTATTCTAGTGCTTTTTTTTGCATTTTTTACTACTGTTATTGTGAGTTGTTTCTCTGATAGATTGAGACTTAGGCTTCGTTTGGACGGTTTTTTTACTGCTTCTTAAAGTAACTTTTTAGTATAAAAATTAAAATTTTGTTAGCTTTCTCAGAAAGCTGCTTTAAAAGCAGTAAGAAAGCCGTCTCAAATGAAGATTTAGTTTGAGACAATTTTTTTTACTACAATTTTTTATACTAAAAAGCAATTTGAAAAATATAGTAAGAAAGCTGTCTCAAATGAAGCCTAAGGTTTCGTTTGAGACGACTTTCTTACTGCTTTTCAAAACAACTTTGTAGTACAAAAATTTTATATTTTGTACTAGAAAGTTGCTTTGACAAACAGTAAGAAAGCTGTCTTGTTTGGGACAACTTTCTTACCGCTTTCTAAAACAATTTAAAAAAATTATTATTTTTAAAATAAAAAAACTATTTTAAAAGCAAAAATATAAAGCCGTCTCAAACAAAGCCTAAGTCAGCAATATAAAGATATGCTGCTAATTTTAGTTTGTAAGAATTGTCATATGGTGAGGAGATTCAAACCAAAACAGTTACTGATTTCATAGGCATTTGCTAATGCTTTATTTTCCGCCATTATTAGATGGACCATAACTACAAAACTACTAAATCCGCTCCTTACATTTCATTATTATTTCTCAGATGTTCAAAGCTTCGTTTGCTTAAAAATTTAATTGTGGCAGATTCGTTGAAGCTCTGAACTTTCTTACAAAAGCTGTTGTCATGCCTGTCTCAGCTTATAATCTTGTTAAATATACTTGATCTTTTTACCTGCTGTTCTTTCATTAATATTTTGTTCTTTTAAAATTTTAATGTCATGCATTTTTTTTTAGTTTATTTCGTCCTATATATTTAAATATTTGCCATGTATTTATATGTCGTATATATCATATTTTTCTTAGAATTAATATTTTATAAACTGGTTAATAAATATGGGGTGGGCACACTTAAATTCTCTTATGATGGCTGTTCTATTGGAGCTTTTGACCAAACTTGCTTCTTCCTATTAGTCTGTGTGGAATCTGATTACGCCGATCAATTGGATTATACTGTTGCCTTGGATCTCACATCAATTTCTCGTGCTCGTTGGGGGCTGCGGGGGGTTTACCCCAAGCTTTCATCCAATTTTTTTCCATACAACGCCTCAATGCTGTGTATCCCAATGCATCGGTGTTGTGTAGCCGAGAGCACCCTAGTGTTGATCGACATAGAGTAAAGTGCCACAACGCTCTAGATTCAGCGTCGTAGTGCTATAACACATCATGTTTGAGCGCCACAACATTATGATGGAAGATGCTTGAGAGACGCAACATTCCAAATTGGCGCTACAGCACTGCGAGGCGGACTTGACAGTTTTCTTTCTCGTTTTTTTGAAGGGTTGCGTCCCTTGATATTATTAACTTGACTTTGTCTTATGTTTTGAGTGTAACAATGGTGCAAGAGATAAGAGAAGAAAGGAGATAGTGAGAGAGAAAATAGATTTACACTTTTTTCTCCGACTTTTCATAATGGATTTCTTGGTGTAGTGTGGCTTCGTGATTTTTTTCCCAATTTCAGGTTTTTTCTACGTTAAATCGGGGTGTCCTTTACTTTTCGCTATATTTATATTTTCTTGTTTGTTTTGTTGCAGTGGTTTATGCATCCTCTCCAGCACTTCCATATCGTTCATCGGTTTTGCGCTCAACCCATTCTGAATTTATTAAAAATTGCAATTTGATTGGTCATTCTTGCGTATATTTGTTGTAGAAGGAAATCACACAACAAAATAAACAAGAAAAAAAAAGCGGAGATGAACATCATAATTTAATATGAAAAAAATCAAAAGCCGAAAAAAATTAGTGAGCCACATCACACCTAGAAATGTACTATGAAAATTAAGAGAAATTGAATAAATCTCTCTTCTCACACTCTCCTCGTCTCTCTTCACTTCTGTCTTCGTTTTATGCTCAGAATAGACAATTAGATGCTTTTCAATGCCCAAAAGGATGCACTTCTTCAATGCTGGGGTTTGGAACGTTGTAGTGCTTTGCTCTCTGTGTCAAACCTAAGACCGTAATGCTCAATGCTTGAGTATACAATGCCGTAATATCGCAGAAAATTTTTTCTCTCGACAGGAGGAGCACTGCCCCCTTGCAACCACTCGAACAATTTGACCAACATAATTAAGATATGATTCAATAGTATAACACGATTGATAAACATAATGATATTTCAGACAAACCTAATAATATTAATGTTATGCATTCATGAACATAATGAAAATAAGTTTTATGAAAAATCTCAAAGAAAGATTGGGTTATATAGAGAAGCTTTCTAAAAAATTTCTCAAGGCAGAAGATGAAACCAAGAATTCAGATTTCTTATAAGCACCATTTATGATTAATTACATATTTACATCCGCAGATAAAATGTCAGAAAGAATAAGATATTGCTTATATTTGAAAGACTAACTAAAATATGGTATGAATGATTGATTCTGACAGGAAAAGATTTTTACAAATTACTGATTGGAAGGATCTTATGAGAACGAATCTTAAAGAGGTTTGACTAATTCGAGTACTTAAAAGTCTACAATGTTCTATACTGAAATAATTAAACAACACATGATTAAAGTATGACACATGCATTAAAAATAGTTTATATTAATGAAAATTGGTTAGGAGGGCAATAAATAAGATTACATTTCAATTATAAAGTGTTGTTGATCATATAAATGAAAACTTAATTATGTATAATAGTTTGCACTTCATTGCAAATAAAGCTAAGTTCCTAATGGGGATAAATAAGTACATATATCTTTTCTCTCTTACTTTCTCGTTGCTTCTCTTCTCTCTTACACCGTTCTAACCCACAAACAAAAGCGAAATACATAAATAACATTAAGGGATTGAAGAAACCTTAAACCTATAGAACCAATAAAGGAAGAAAGGAACAAGAAGCCATTTGTGTATTTTCTGTATATCACTGATTATTATATACATGTGTATATAAATAAAGATAAAAGGCAACATGTAGTTAGAAATGAATGGTATTGATAAATGGACAGACATCTTATGACTGAGGCTGAAGCAGAGTCTTTATGTATTATACGACAGACAAGTAGTGGAGCATACCACTTATACAGTTATACTAAATATTGTAGCACATATTTGTTAACACCGCCCCTCAAGTTGATAATGCCTCTTATATTGTTAACTTACATCTCAACTAGATAAACTGAGTGATGGATAGTTTCTTGGTAAAGATATTAGCAGGTTGGTCTTGAGAGGCTATATGATGCTTAATAATTTGTTGCTCTTTAATGCAATCCAGTATAAAGTTGTAATCAACTTTAATATGTTTAATACAGGCATGAAATACAAGACTGTTAGCTAATTTAATAGCAGAGGTGTTGCCATAGTAAACTTGAGTAGGTGCATTTACATAAATGTGAAATTCTGTGAGTAGGCGTCTCAACCACATAATATTACTTGCAATCGCTCTCAAAGCATGATAGTCGGCCTCTGTTGATGATCTTGCCAAAGTAGGCTGTTTCATGATAGACTAGGACAATCTATTATTGCCAAGGAAAGCACATAACTCGATGATTGATCGACGGTCAGTTGTATTAGCCACCCAGTCAAAATCTGTATAAGCATGAAGATCAAGAGATGATTTAGTAATAGGTGGTGCATAGTTGATGGTACCATGGAGATATCTCAACACTCTTTTCAGCATTTGAAAATGAAGTTGGTACACTTTATGCGTGTGTTGGCAAAGATAATTACCTGCAAAAGCAATATTTCGCATGGTGATCATTAGGTATTGAATCAAGCCAACTATCTTCCTGTAAAGTTTTGGTTGCCTTCTTAATTAGGAATGGGTGATGGTAGTTTGGATGGTAGATGGCTTTGATCGGGTTTGCAATTGAGCATGCCAGATTTGTTGAGCACCTCTGTGATGTATCGGGATTGACTTAAGAGCAAATTTGTATGATGGTGAGTAGTTTGTATGCCAAGGAAATGAGAAACTGGTCCTAGGTTTCTCAGAAGAAATTGGGAGCTTAAACTTTGGAGTAGGTTGTGAATTTCAGTTTGATTGTTTCTAGTGAGGAGTACTTCATCAACATAAAGCAGCAAGTAAAGTGAAACAAAATCTTTATGGAAGAGCATGAGGGAAGGATCAGCCTTGCTTGCAACAAAATCGTATTGCAATAGATGAGTAAAAAAGGTGGAGAACCGACGAGGTGATTATTTGAGTCCATAAATGGATTTATGTAGTCGACACACATGAGTTGGATATTATGGATCTTGAAAGTCAAGTTATTTTTTCATAGGTGTTTGTTGACTGAAGTAGAGAGTGGTTGACAACAACTTTTGGACTACAATGAAGGGATGATCAAGCTTGTTGTGCCAATTAGAGAAGCTTTCATAGGAGTTGAATAAAATAGTGGGTGAGATGGATGTTTGTTGGGAAAGAAAAGAAGCATGACGCTTAATGGGATAGAGTCCATGGTGGCAGGGTCCTTAAGAGTGAAACAACACTGTAAAACAAAATGTAACACGAATTGTCATTAAGCAAGTGATGAACCAAAAAGAGATAATGTGTAAGGTGAGGAATATATAGAATGCGGGGTAAATTAAGCTTACGAGATGGTGTAGGCATGATGCTTTTACTAGAATGAGCAATGCGAAGTTTATTTCCATTGCCAACAAGCACATGAGAATTGCCAGAGTAAGGTTAAATCAAATTCAGCTATGAGGCATCAATAGTAAGATTGGTGGATGCTCCTGACTCCTGAGTCCAAGAACTAGTTAACCGTATATTCATCTTCTTGTGT